ACAGAAACAGCTTTGTTAAAGAATACAACACTAACTGAATCAGCAGCTGCTTTTATTTCCAAGCCAGCGGAGAAAATTCTGTTAGATAAAGTTGAAGTTATAACTGGAGAAGAAGCAGAACACAATGTATTACAGGTGTGTACTTCATAAAGCCTTGATGGTGAGCAGTTTTGTTGTTGAAAAGAACATCTATATCTATTACAGATTGCAGCAATCTGAAAATAACTTCAGTTTATATTTTAAATTTTAACTTTTCTTAAGATATGCCTCTGTTAACCCATTTTTCTGTAGGCTGCTATTTTCTTTTTCGTATTATATTTGTTCATTTTATAGTCCCTTTCAGTAGGTGACTGCTTCAGAACTTCATTCTACAGTTGTATTTTATAAGCATCTACACAGCATACCAGCAGTAACCCAAACTTCAAAATTGGAAGTGATTTGAGTAAAGACTTTTTTATGACAAAACCTTTTTGGGAAAAAAGCAATGCGTTGTCAAAGTAATTAGTTTTATAGTTAATCTAAAATATCAATGAACTTTCTAGCCCAGCAGGACGTATCTTGCTATTCTTCATCTTCAAACTGTTATTTCCTCAGAAAATAGCAATGATGTATATGATTTTCAAAATCTTAACATTGAAAGGTACATTATTTTATCATTGATTAAATCTTCTGTCCTGTCAGAACATGGAAGTTTTACTCTTTTTGGAGTAGTACTCTCCCAGTAGTGGTACTGGTATCCTGGGCTGCATAATGTTTCTAATGAGTGAGGGAGTAATGTAAAACACTTGCAACAAATTCAGCTGTGCTAGTGGATATCACAGACAAAGAGTTAATGAAGGTGAAGTAATTGAAGAAGTAAACTGGGATTCATGTTGAATGTCTTCCATGACTAGCAGAAAGTTTAGCAGAGATCTGGGAGCCATTTCATTTTAAGTAATAATGGTGATATATCTATATATCTATCTTTGTATACATGCATATATGGATGTATTAAAAGCCGAATCAAAAGGTTTAAAAACATAAAGTTTTAGAACCAATAAAATTGACATTGACTGCCAATTTCCATCATGTATTTCTCTTTCAGATCAACTGCAAGCTCTTTATATTTAATAAGCTTTCTTTAACCTGGATTGAAAGAGGCAGAGGATCCCTGAGGCTTAATGACACTTCTAGTGGTAAATGTGGACTGTTGCAGTCAAGGCTAAGTAAGAATTAAATAACGAAGTAACACATACACCAAACACTAAACTTGTACTATTGCTGGCTGGAATAAGTTTAGTTCAGAACATTTAAAACTGAGTAGCTAGTTTTATTTAAGTCAAGTTGCTGAGAATCTTTTTAACATTGCCTGATAAAGAAAGCTGTGTTACGGACTGAGGCACTGGGCAGTTTTCACTCAGTGTGTACCCTCACGCTTGCATATGTTGTTAGGTTCTGTGTGTTTCTACTGCAATGTATCTTTAACTCAGTCACCAGTCTGACAGTTTGCTCTTTGTTGATTCTGCTTTTCCACGAGCACTGTTTCAAGTCACTTCTGGAATGTTGTTTTTACTGTGCTGTCATTTTTTGTACTGTATTGCACAGTTTCAGCACATTATTTGCTTTGTATGCCAGATGTATTGAAAGAAACTAATACATTTTGGTATTTAAAAAAATAATGAAAAAAAACCCCTCGCCATGTCAGGTTTTAGACCAAATTAAAAAGAGTAATTCATGAAAATACTAGCTGCATACAAGTGCTAGAGAAAACTGCTGCAGTAAAAATGAAGATGGTTCCAATGACTTATCATATAAACCTTCTTATTTTAGTTATGCGAAATCAAGGCAGCTTGAGACTGATTCTCAACACCCGACTCTGGGATCAAATGGTTATAAAAAGAGCAAACAGAAAGAGCCTGTGCTTCACTGCAACAGACCAAGAGGACCACTCTGTTCAAGTATTTCTAATTCAGGTAAACAAGAGATAAAAACCCCACCCAAATCCCCATTTCATCTCGGACTCTGGAGACTTGCTGAGGCTTTGGTTTTAGCAAATGGCCTTTTATGCCCTGTCACGCTATGCTTAGCTTAGCTGTTACATGGCTTTTATTATGAAATGAGTTAGAAGTGCTGTCCTCTGGTATTTAAAAAAAAAAGGTGTGAAGATGGGATATGGCCTTAGGACAGACATTTCCAGACTCTGTTTCTCATACCGTTGATGGAATGAGTATCATTCCAGAGTCATATGCAGCAATTACTCTTTCTTATGGAAGCAACACTGTAAGAATTTCTACACGGTATTTACATGTTCATAGATTACTTTGGTACAAGGCAGCAGCTTTCTGCCATGGTTCTTGACACAGTGCTTGCAATAATCCATCCAGTGTAGGACCTCCATTTCTCAGTTGAGGAGAACACAGATTTTGCAGTGTCACCTTACATAAGACAATAGTCTTGGGAATCCTGGTTTTCTCTAGCAAGGGCTGATAAGTTGAGAATGGAAATGTGGTGGACTTATTTGCAAATAAATAGCACATACGTCCTAGGTTGGGAAGTGAGAGCATCCACATGAGTTTAAGAATGTCTCCGGTTTCCCCAGTAGACATTTCGGGGAAGGGTTCAGCCTCCTGGGCAAGAAAAGTAAATCACCACTTCCAGGAGGTGTCACATGTCATACACAAGTAAAGCACCATGCACTGTATATGCAAGCACTGTAAGTCTTATCACTTCCAAACAGTGATTGACTTAACTATGGCTGTGCTGCACACCTGGTCTGCATGTGAGAATTAGAAATGTCCTAGATTTCCAGATGTGCTGCAGTTTTTCTAGCATATATAGATGTAAACATTCCTTAAATTCTGTCCTGGCACTTCTGGACGTGAAAAAAGACATGTATGAGGAAACCAAGATACATGACAGCTGTATGTGTGTGGCAAGGGTTGCAGGAAGCTGCCTCTACAGTCATCACTGAAGCAGCTGGTATCCATCCCTATAGCTGGTACCCAGCCAAACTAACACTGAGACTCCCGAGTGTGGAAGGCAAATTGATCAATGCGTGAGACACCCAGCAGGCATCACAAAAGCCTTGGCATGTAAATCAGGCTGGACTAGTAGTCAGTGGAGCCCACTCCTCCAAGGCACCAGCAGATATTTTTCACTGCCATTTAAATTTGTTTTTCCCATGTCACATGAATGATACATTTGGTTCAGGGATATTATCCAACGGGCTTCTCGTGAGTGAGGGAGAAGAGTCATATGATGCTGACTACAAAGCAGGCAGTCCACAAGGCTACCATTAGATTGGTCCTGTAGTAGTCACCCAGCTTTGTGCAGAGGGCTGACTCTGCCCCCTCCCCTCGTGCTTGTTTCTCCCTCCTCACTTTTGGTGGCATTGGAATTTGTACAGCTATGAGTGAGGCACAGCAGGGAACTGATCTGGGTGGTTTTGTTCATTTTTGCTAAGTTAGTTTTTTTAGCTTGATTTTATTCACCTGTTATCACTCTAACGGTGAGGGTAGAAATGAAGAGTCAGAGGATGTATGGAGGTGAGTACACCCCTCTTGGCAGAAGCTGGAGTTCATGTTAGATTAAAATGACAGAGGAAGCCTGGCTTTTGAATGAATAAGTAGAAGGCTACATTTCAGCTTCAGTCTGAAACGGTCAGACTGAATAGCTGCCTTTTTCATATTTATGACCCTACGTTTCCTGAAAAGCTGTGTTATCTTGAGAGCTTGGATTTGTCCACTGAGAATTGCATTTGTAGTTGAGACACCTGAACAACTCTGAATTGCTTTCTTCTTTGCCTGGCTGTAGTGAGAGAATTGTTTGCTGCTGCGAGTCTGAGTAGCACAGAAGGCAACCCTGATCTGCTGCTGCTTCCCAATTCGTGTAGCTTTTCCACTGGTACTCACTGAAATGTGTCATTCCAATCCAAACAAGACATACTTCTTCCCATTGCCAGATAGAAATTACTCCACATGATGCACAGAAGTGGAGAACTGGGCTACAGAAAAGACCACGTGCATTCAGTTACCCTCTGGTAGATGATTTGCTTTGTAAGAACAAAAGAAGTACTCTACTGGCACTTCTGACAGCACCCAAATGCAGTGCTTCTAGGAAGCACAAGCAAGCATGCCCACTTTGTATGGTCTGTTCACCTCATCAAGCCCCAGTGTCTGTGTGTTGTATTAGGCATGTGAGAGCATGCACCCCTACTTGTTTCCTTTGCTATCTATTTTATAAAGTGATTGTCCCTGAATTTTTCTAATTCCTTTTTTTAAACTTTTATTACTATATTTTTGGCCTGTTCTTTTTAGTTTATACTGTCTGGCCCCACTCTCTCCTGAGGCAGCAAATACTAGAAGTTCTTACTCACTCTGTGAAGAAGCACTTTCTTTTACGCTGCTCCTCTACTGCTTTCACTAAGCATACCCTAATGCATTTATTGTGTGGTCTGATGAACAGCTGTACCACATTCAGTTTATCCACCCCTTTTATAATATTGAAAACCTTAATTATACCCCCTTCTCATCCTTCTCTTCAGACTGAAGAGTCTCAACTCTTCATAAGTAGCTGCACCACACCCTTGATCATTTTTGGTGCCCTTCTCTTTACCTTCTTTAATTCTGCTATATCCTTGAGATGTGATGACCAGAGCGGAACACAGTACTCAGGACATGGCTGCTCGAAGGTTTTATGTACTGGCAAAATGCTGCTTTGTCTGGTTCTGAATACCCTTCTTGGTGATGCTCATCTTCTGTTCAACAATAGCAGCAGAATTAATGGTATCTTTAAATTTTATAATCACAAATAATTTTTTGTAGTTAGGTTTTAAAATTCTTCTTTATTCTGTAAACCAAAATGCAATACATATATTAACATTTCAGTGCTTTATTACTTCCAGAATCATAGTCAGGAATTGTCTGGAATATCAAGTACTCAGTACAAACTGAGCCGTTCTTCAGGGGAAATAATAATTTTTAAGCTTATGTTTCTTGTAACTACAGAGAAAATAATCAACAGCTACATATTATAAAACTCAGACCACTTAAAGAAACTTGACATTATTTGTATTTAAATTTATTTTCTGAAATTAATTATTAAGTCTGAATCTTCAATGGATTGTTTTGATTAAAAAGGACAAAATACAGCTCTTTCATTACTTTTGAAAATTTCTCAGTCAGCTTCTCTGTGAAAAACAGTGATTTTTCTCAGTTAGTTTGGACTGTATGCATTTTATCTTATGCAGGCAAGCTCAAAAGACACTGGATACCTCTATGCAGCAATACATCACCGCCTTGTGGCACTGCGAAGCTTTGCTGAGCAAGAGCCAGATGCTAATCAAGTGGACACAGAGTCAGAAATAGCTTTTCAGCCATTAAACTGTGATAGCGATGATGAAGATGATGAAAAAGTAACTCAAGCGAGCAGCAGTGGATCAGGTAAGCAGAAACTTTCCTGTGATCCTTTCAGGGTAAGCAATGAATATTACACTTCTTTTTTTTTCATGTTGACTATAACTTTCATCTGTTACAAATACACCTTTTAAGGTAGAAGAGGGTAATTCCTTTTAGTATTTTGGCTTACTACCGTTAAAATGCAAGGTTTTGCCAGATGAAGTATCTACACAACTTTATAGCAGTGGAATACTCTTTTGACAAAAGGCTGAGTGTTAAGAGATCTTAACATTGTCAAGCTTTACCTAAAGGTTTCTTCAGTATATTTAAGTAGAAATGACTAGAAGTGTTGAGATACTAGTTGTTACTTGAGTAAGTGAAAGTTGAGTCCATTCACATCAGCGATTATGTAGTTACTAATGGCTTCAAGCATAACGTGTTTACGAAGGTATTTCTTATGCACCGGTTAGCTTCATTTAAAACACTGATTCTTGATCAGCTGTAACAACTACCTCACTAGGAAATTTGCAGGTCAAGATTTACACACCAGTGTTGCCAGCTTTCTTCAAAAAAACAAAAATGTAGGCTCCTCAAAGTGAAGCATACAACTAAAACAAGATACAAGGGGAAAGTTGCTAACTTAATCCTACTCTAGAAGCTGTTAATACAGCTCACAACAAGGCTGGGGTCACATTTGCAGAAAGCAAGGCAGAAACAGCTGTCAGACTTCAAAGCTCTTCTATCTTAGCAAAAGACAAGTCATATTTCTGGGGCGAATTCACTTGCTTGTGCCAAACTGCTACAGTGGATACAGGAGCTGCCAACTACGTTCGATTTTTGTAATAGAAGGACTACCGCAGGCATGTTTGAGTTGTTGCTCATAGCATTAGTTTCCCTCTTCAGCTGAGTAACATACTGTCCTTATATTATAAACTCCTCCTTTTAACAACTATTCAACAAGAATCAAGTCATGTACGAGTAACAGCTATGAGTGACTGTTAGCTTAAGGAAACAAGTCTTTTTTCCCCTTTTGGCAAGTTTGCAGTTGCAGTTTGCAGTCCTTGTTCCCATTATTAATTGTTGTTTAACTACATTTCAGTAGCATTCAGTGCTCTAAACAAAGCATGATGCTCTTATACAGCATTTTTTCACAAATACCTTTTTTCTGTTTAGGAAATGGGAAAATTGTTAGCTCTGAGAACTCCCTGGATTGCTCCCAGATAATCAAACATTCCCTCTGTAATTCCTAAATAAGTCTCTATTGACTACAAAGAGTTTCTGGTAACTTGAAAACTCTGGATGGAGCTTGATTCCTTTCCAGAATTACTGATGATAACAACCCTTTGTTCTTTTAGGGAAAAAAAAAAGAGGGGAAGGGGATGGCAAAGCAGTGTAGGAGCACAGATTTACAAGTTAAATATTTATTTTGATTTGCAGAGACTTCTGAAACAAATATTCAGATGGCAGCCAGCAAACAGATTCTGAGATATGAGTGTCAGGTGCTGTTTTTTCTTGACCTTTTATGCATCTTTCATTTATGACCAGTTACTGACAGCAGTTCTAACAATCCCTTTCAAGAGCTTTTTTTGATGACTTTGAGCATTTCCTGCTTATCTTAATCTCTTCTATTATTCTCAGAGCCATGAGGTTTTAATTTCGCATAGATTTCAGTTACTGGTATCCAAGTCCCACTTTACATGCAGACATTCACATCTTACACATGCCTGTCCCTGGAACTCCCATTTCCAAAACAGGAAGAAAAATATACCTCGTGGGTTTTGGAACAGGTTGAGGTCAGTTTTAAATATCAGTATGGAAACGTCCATTGGGATGTAAGAGATCAGATCCTGCACATTTAACAGCATTTGGTTTAAGTTTTCATTTTCATGCTTTCATTTTAATTGAAGGATGTGCGTGAATAAGTCATCTCGTTTTTATTCATGTAACTCAGTTTCAGAGATTACCTCTCCTTAAGACTACTATAAATGTTAAGAAGCGTAAGTTCTCCGTGACTGTTTCATTACAAGAAATACAGTTAGAAAGTATGCCTGCATTTTACTTCATTCCATTCTACCTGTTTCGTCTCAAAAAACCCGATAGTTCTTTCTTTTCTTAATATAGGCACTTTCCTTCTTGTTAAACTGAACTAACACAGTTCCCTAGATTATGCTATGTATTTCATGACATGGTAAAAGACAGGAAAAAATAGATGAGAATTATCTCTAGTTCTAGAGACTGAAGAAGAAAGCAAATATGATACACGTAATAAGTGAAGTGTTATGAACAGTAAAGTGATTCTATATGTTTGCCAGACATTTTTGTAAGAATTTTTTACACAGAATTCCTAACTATAACATCCACAGGATGTTAATGCTCTATAAGGACAGTGTATAAGGTAGTAGACATATTTCTACCATTTTACAAATTCAGTATAGGCATCTACCCTAAAATTTTTTAAATTTTTGAGTTGCTTTACTTTCAAGTGGCGATATTGATTTCATATAGTCCATAAAGAATAAGTTGCTGTACCTGGTATTTTTATCAGATCATATTTCACCAGTTACAGCTTGGATATTTTTACCAACAAATTGCTCTGTAAATCTAAGTGGAGAGAAAAAGAACAATTCAACTTTGAACAGATTTTCAGAGTGGATGGGGTCAATAACTCTCTGGGAAGTATTCATCTTTTCCCACTGACTACAAAGTGAACTGAGGAGATGAATTTAGACTAGACAGCAAACTTCTAGGCTGACCAAAGTCAAGCAAATCTCTTCTTCCATTTCTTTCATTGCTAATTTATTTCTCTGCTAAGTATTGTAACTATGTTTGCCTCCAGCTGTCTTTGTAATATCTAGCTGAGGAAAGATCAGCAGAATTCTTTATTATGCATATGAAAAACTTTCTCACGAAATAATTTAACAAATAAAATAATAAAAAAGCTGATATGGCAACGTGTGAATGATTGGACCAAGAGTGCTCCCTTCTGAGGGAAATGCCACTGGCCTCAGACAGTTGCATGACTCTCCCCTTTTGTTTTTCCTCTCCTTGGGCTTGTAAACCTTACATTCTTTGCTCTGTAGTGTATCTGCTTCAACAAATAGAACAGAGAATTCCCCTTAGCCGGGCATATAGAATAGTCTAGTAAGGGAGCACGGTCTCCTGGCAGGCAACGAGTTGCACCTGACCGCTGTGGATAAAGAGGACCTAGCACCCTATAGGTCTGTGTCCCGGGCGTGTTTTGCAATGAGTAACATAATGTCAAACTGTTGCCACTACCTCCTCCTGCTTTGCTAATAGCCCTCAACCATCCATTTGGGGCTTTCCTGTATGTTGGCAGACCAGTATCAGGTATTTGTGCAAACAAAGTCTTCTCTCTCCTGTTTTTTAAGCACCTTCACTACAGGCAGTTACAAATTCAGCACGTGGGAGTACTGAGTTGCACTGCTAATATGCATAAATTCCACATATACTTATTGGATAGACAGTTCTCTAACGTAGACAACTCTTGCAGGGTGCCCATCTCTTCCCACTGGCGGCATAAACAAACAAGGTACCTATGTCAGGCTCAAAAAATCATCCTGCCAGGACATGGATCTGTTAGGGTCCAACACCTAAGCTTGCCATCGGTAGCAGGTGATCTGAAGTCAGTACTTAGACCCATAAGTGACTAAGATGTCTCCGAAAATGTTACTCCTTGCTTCTGACACTTCTAAGAGATTTTTCCATGTTTTCTTCATAGCCATAAGGAGATTCTGTCCTTGTTCCAGAAGAATGCATTTTGTTTACATTTAGAAACAGGTGCTGTTTCCATCATGGTTATCTGAAATAGCGGAAGGTTCTTAAAGTGTTGTAACCCCGTTAGTATTTAGAAAGAACTGTTATTCCTTAGAGGCATAAGGCATTTATGAAGTATGAAATGTCAGTCATAGTAGTAGCATAGCATGGGGCTGTATGTTGTATGGTTCCTATGATTTCTATCCTTTTCCCGTTTCTGATTTTGCAGGAATTTGTTTATTTTTATCCCCGAGGGGGAACAGAGAAGCCGGAAAAGTACATGCGAGAGACAAGGATGACAGTGTCACTAGGCAAAGAAATGCTTTATGCATTATTTGTTATACTGCACCTCACCAATAACTCTCTTAAATCTTCTCCTAACTTCATCCTGATTGAGGGCTACTCTCTTTTGATTGAGGTGTCCTCTCTTTCCTGGCATGAAATTTTCTTTTAGAAGCTATTAGGGTGAATTCAAAGATGCTGGAGTCTAGGACTAGGTAAGTCCCAAGAAGTTTCTCCATATGTAGCCATAGACCTCAAGAGAAAACCATAGTGTGCAAAGACATAGTGTGTCCCATATGGGTCCAGCAAGAATTGAATGGATTTTGGAGACTACTGCTGTTGAGAGCCGGACAGTATCATACCACAGAAGTGCAACCTTTGTTTTATTTTAGAGATGTTTTCTAGTCCACTATACACGTACCTCCCATGTTGGCCTCATTCGGACTCTTGTCATCTGCTGGTGTTTATGAAGATTTAAAATGTTACGAGAGCTTTTTTTATTTTTAAGTAAAATACTTTCGAAGTTCTTAAAGGAACTACTGTTCAGCAACACCATAGGAACTCCTGAAAAACTGCTATCTTTCTTTGACATTTCTTGTCAATCTAATTTAAATTCTAAACAATTGTTAAGGATTCCAAATCATAAATCTAACACACACACACACACACACGTGATAGTGATTTAAACTGAGGAAAAGTTAAGAATTAACTTCTTTGTTGGAGTCCAAGTTTCTGTATTCTTTCCAGCAGTTATCAATAACATCTAAAGCAGAGAAGAAAAGACAGCTCTCTGATTGGAAAGGGGGGGGATCAGATTTAATATTCTGACAAACACAAGGCCTTTCATTTCACCTGTAAGAGGTTTAAAACCTTTAGTAAGTATTTAGCGGTGGCCAGATGGTAGCAGCAATTTTTAAGCAGATACTGAGACAGTGATATTAATGTGTCTGGCATTAGCCAGCTATATCTACTTTCTGCAGATGAGTCAAAGTCATAGAGATTATGCACCAGAAACACCCCT